ATAAATCTAGGAAAAGTCACTAATAAACCTATGTTTCGGGTGGAGGATGGAGGATAGACTGCAAGGGAGGGCCGTAGGAAGATAATATATAACTCCTTCCTTCTTAGAAGAGCCAACAGCATTCTGTGGTCTTCCTATCCTAGCAAGACTAGCGGAGGGCTTTACCACACACGTTGTTTTTCACTGACTTGGCTTCCTCGATGGAGTATGGACTTGCACTGATGTCCTTTTAATAAAGAAGGAGGGTGAGAAACAAAGGACGGATGTAAGAGAGGTGCAAAATGACCCATTGGAAGCCCTTTCATAGCTGTGGGCTTTGGACTTAGAGCAGCAGTGACACCTGGGCCTGAAAGAAAATAATTGTGACTTTATCCAGCAGTTCTTGTGCATAGCTAATCCACCTCAAAGCAGGGGAGAATTTTGCAATCAGGGGTGGGGGTATTTCTCTATTGGTCCTGATTACTCTCCCTACATGGTAAACCTGGCCTCTGGGAAGGTGGTTTCAAAAAGTACCAAGAAAAAAATGCATATAGGGATGGAGACTGCCTTCAGATCCATATTCTCCCATACTAAATGACTGAACCTTTATGCCATCTATCATTTTGTTTGCTTTTTAAAAACTTTTTAGTTTTAGAAAAGTTTCAAATGAAAAATGAAGAGTTCCAAGGATCATACAAATAAATTCTCTATATAATTCACCAATTTTAAACATTTTGTGTCTATCATCTTTTTATCTATAGATGTTTATTTTCTGAAACATTTGAAAGTAAATTACAGAAATCATGCCTTTTTACCCATAAATAATTTAATATTTATTTCCTAAGAACAGGAATTCTCTTATATTATTACAGTACAGTAAGTCCTCACCTACTGTTGTTGGTTTTAAACAGTTTTACCATAGGCTAATTGATATAAACAAGAGTTGAGGTCCTATGGCATATGTCTGTATATCAATTAGCTTGTGGTAAAATTGGTTTCATTATATGTTGTTTTGCTTAAAGTTGCACTTTTCAAGAACCCATCAATGATGTTAAGTGAGGCATATTAATAAGGCAAAATAAGTGTCAAATTTAGGAAATTTAACATTGGGAAAATATTACTCTATAACCTATATTATATTATATTATTTTTTCCCCAGTAATGGACTTTATAGCATTTATTTTTTTCTGGTCTGGGATCCAATCCAGAATTGTGTTTTGCATTTAGTTGTAATGTTTCCTTTATTCCCTTAATCTCAGGCAATTCCTACTTAATTTTGATGACCTTGACATTTAAATTTAAGTACAAGCTTTTTGTTTTGTACATTGGCCCTCAGTTTGGATGTGAGTGATATTTCCCTGAAATTAGGTTCAGATAATGTGTTTTTGCAGGAATGCCACATAAATGAGGTGCACGCTCTGTGCATCATATCAGAAAGCACATGATGTCTGTTCCATTGTTGTTCAGGTGAACTTTGATCATTTGATTAAGATGACATCTGCCACATTTCTCCGTGGTAAATTAGGAAGATACTTTGAGATGATATGTATCTTATTCCTCATCAAATTTTCATCTGTTAGTTTTAGCATCCATTTTTGATTCATGCCTGAATAGTTTATTGCTATGAGAGTTGCAAATGGTGATTTTTTTAGCATTCATCATTCCTCCTATGCTTCTTAGTTGGCATACTACTCTAAAAAGCACATTCCCCTCATCTGTTAATTTTTATTTACTATCGATATGGAGTCATGGATTCTTATTTTATTCAATAGGTTATAATCTGATAACATCAATATTTGATTTGGTACTTAAATTATCCCAAATTTGGTCATTCAGAGAGCCTCAAGAACCTCCCTATGCCTTTTTGACAAGTCTTGCTTTTTTTTAAAATATTTTATTACTTGACACGGAATGCTCCAAGTTCATCTTAAAGTTACTTCTCCAAAGAGCTTTAATTCTTTTTAGGGCAGATAATGTTTAGAAACTACTCTGTCAATACTGTGTAAGTGTTAAGGAGGGGATTTTAATTTGCTCATGTAAAGAGGTAAGAATTCAGAGGGCAGTTTACTCATGCTAACTTTGGACACATTCTGCTTGGCATAATAGGACTTTTGTCCATACTGGTGGACCTGGCATTCCATACTGTTTGAATTTCTATAGCCTTCTTTTACGTTCTGATCTTAAAGAAAGTTTCCCTTATTTCTAGAATTTTTGGGGGGATCCTTTAAAAACATTCTGTCTCCTAGATGGATTTTAGAATATCATGTAAAAAAGTCAAATTCCAAAAAACATGTTATTGTTATTTTTAAAAGTATTGAATTAAATTTATTATTTAGCTTAGGGCAGAAATTATCTTTTTTACAAGCCTGTGTCTTCCCATTTAGGATTAAGAGATGACTTCATTTAGCCTTGACTGGTGTGGCTTAGTTGGTTGAGTGTTGGTTTCCAGACTGCAAGGTCACTGGTTCGATTCCTGATCTGGGCACATACCTGGGTTGTGGGCCAGGTCCCCAGTTGAGGGCATGTGAAAGGCAACCAATCCTCACATCAATGTTTCTCTCCCTCTCTTTTTCCCTCCCTTCCCTTGTCTCTAAAAGAATAAATAAAATCTTAAAAAAAATAGAGATGACTTCATTTATTCTTTGGTTATAGACTTCAGTAAAGGGGCTTGTATTTTTCATCACATAAATGTTGCATGTCAACTATTATAATTGTCGCAGTTTTTGTGATAATGTGTAGTTGATTCCTGAACAATGTGGGGTTTGAACTGCCTGGATTCACTTATATGCTGATTTTTTTCAATAAATACATTAAATATATTTTCCTTATAATTTTCTTGATAACATTTTCTTTTCTATAACTTAATTTACAGCATATAATATACATAACATATAAAATATGGGTTAATTGACTGTTTATATTATTGGTACAGCTTCTAGACAACAGTAGGCTATCAGTGTAGTCAACCCTCTGCATCCGTAGATTCCAACCTGTGGATCGAAAAATATTTTCAAATATTTTCAAAATATTTTTTTCGATCCACAGTTGGTTGAGTCTGCAGATACAAGATCGATGGACACAAAGGGCCAACTGTAGTTAAGTTTTGGGGAGTGAAAAGGTATATGTGGAGTTTCCACTGTGTGTGGTTTCAGCACCCTTAACCCTGACATTGCTCAAGGTAATCAGTAATTGGTTATAGTTTTGTGTTTGCGAATACTATCTTTTAACAATTCTTATTATGAATTTACACATATGGAAAAGTGCCTAAACCTTGAATATATAGTAATAAATTTTATTTAATCACTACCCAGCTCAATTAATAGAACTTTGCTGGCACCTGAAGCTCCCTGTTTGCCCTTTCCTCGTCACAACCCCCTTCTCACCGTCCTTCTCTCTTAAAGCCAGCAAATTAAGGGAAATACAGCTGCTCACATGGCTTTCATTGTTCAATGTAGGAAGCATGACAGTTAAGCAGGAGAGACTTTATTTTCCTGACACAGACATTTACTGTGGGCCTTTATGTAAGAGACAAGGACTGTATAATTGACTCTTTTTTAAGGCTAGTTTTATGAAATATGCAGATTTTTCATAAGTTTGTTTCTTACTGAGTCTATGCTAGAATAAAGCAGATTATAATATTAAAATTTTTTAAAACGTCTTTCTAAGGTATTTTTAATTTAGATGTCAAAATAGTAGCCTGGGATTATCTAGCCTGTTGAAAATCATTGTTTTGGCCCTGACTAGGGTGGCTCAGTTGGTTGAGTGTTGCCCTGCAAAGTGAAAAGTCACCAGTCCATTTCCTGGTCAAGGCACATGCTTGGGTTGTGGGGTGTATACTAGAGGCAGCCTGTTGATGTTTCTCTTTCTTCCCCGCTCCTAAACAAACAAACAAACAAATAAAATCTTGAAAAGGAAAGAAAATCATTGGTCTGGTTTCTCTTAGTTTAGTGAGTTTGTGGAAGTTGCTGATATCTTGCCATAGCCTCAACTGCCTTTCAGCACTGGTGATCAAGATAAATGAATGTTTTTTTCTTCTACCATCTCTTAGATTTTGGTGTCTAGTCGGTCCTTGGGCCTCTTCTTACTGTGTACTTTTTCTCTGAGCTATCTCCTACTGTTGCTTTAGTGCTTACATTTATCCTCATAAAAATCTACATTTATTTCCAAGACCAGGTTTTCCTGACCTGTGATTCTCTCAAATAAAAATGAATGGGTTTTAACTAGGGTTATCTTATATTTACGTGAATGAGTTTTTAGTGATCAGGAATTTGACTGAAGTCTGGCCTAGGGAAATCTTTGCAGAATTGGAAATGCAGAGGAAACAGCCTATGGAAATTAATGATCATGCTATAAAAGAGATTATATTCATTATGTTATTAGATATTATTTTTTAATTTACAAGTAGTTCTTTTTATTTTTTAAATGTGCCACATTATTTTTTATTATATTTATTGGAGTAACATTGGTTAATAAGATTATATAAGTTTAAAGTGTAGATTTCTATGATATGTGATCTGTATATTGCATTGTGTGCCCACTACCCAAAGTCAAATCATCTTCCATCACAATATATTTGGTCCCCTTTACCCTTTACTACCCCCTGCCCCAACCCCTTCCCTCTGGGAATGACCATACTATGCTAATTGTATTAGCACCATATTATGCTAATCAAAATTATATATACTATCATCAGTTTCAGTGCCTCACCTCTCTGTCTTCTTTATACATCTTTATAGCTGTTTGTATCTTTTAAGAAATGATGTTAATATTATTCTTGAAGTGTTAATTCTAAAAACTTTTGTATTTTTCTCCCTATCTTTTATTTTCTGAAGTGCTAACTAAAAGTGCTCACATTCTGGCAGATATTAAGAGGCACACTTAGTTAATGGTGCTTTCTTATATAACTCATCAGGGCTCCTTTTTATTTTCAGTACTGTTTTATGCTGTTTGTTTCTCTCTTTCTCTCTCTCTTTTTTTTTTTTTTTAGAAATAACACTAATAACTTTTGCATTTGCTTCTAGAAAAACTGATTGCTTATCAACGAGAATTTCTTGCTTTGAAAGAACGTCTTCGAATAGCTGAACATAGAATCTCACAGCGCTCTTCTGAATTAAGTGCCATTGTACAGCAGTTCAGGCGTGTAGGAGCAGAAACAAATGGGAGTAAGGACACGTTGAATAAATTTTCAGGTACAAATTATATTTTTGGTTACATAAAACGATTGTATTTTCAAAGAGTTATGTGAAATATTTTATTTGGAAGTTGTGTAGAGTAGCTTATCAAGCAGCATTTTTCACCCTTTTCAGAGAAAAATCACACATAAAACTTTGTATTATGGTAAATTATAAAACCGTTTTAATTAATTGATTTTAATTAATTATTAAGAGTAGTAATGGGTTAAATTTCAGTTGTACACATTTCGTTGATGCCAGTGTTTTTATGTTTTTAAAATCATATTCAAAATGAGATCAAATTTTAACTTTGCATTTATACATGTTTATGTTGTCACTTGGCTGGACCTTAGATATACTCTGGAGAATCTTTGAGCTATTTGAAGCAATTAGTGATCTTAGATCTGATTTATAAGAAAAAATACGAAGTTTTATTATGGGTACTTTTGGAGATATTTGACTTTTTCCCTCTCCGAGAACTTCTGATCAGAGTAAAATGAATGCCAATCTTCTCTGTTTCTGTGCTGTTCTTATTCTAATAACTAAATTGATATATGTAATTCCTCTTAACATTCATTACCTTATCTTATTTTTAAAATTTCACGCTTATTGTTTCCCCTCCTGATTATGGAATTGATTATGGGATAACAACATTTAAAATTATGGAGCAGTATAGGTAACAAAAATAAATCAGCCATAAACCTCCTGCCAAGTGATTTCTTTTTTTTCTTCAAAAAACAATATTTTTCTTAAAAATTGTGACTGTGTGTTATAGCTTGATTTGTACTCTTGAAATTATGCTATTAGCACTTAATGTGCCATTGAGTATTCTTCAAAAATACCATTTTAATGGCTTTATAACTTCTCAGTTAATCATATATTGTAATCTATTAAACATTTTACTATAATTAGGCAAATAGAATGTTTTGGGTGGTTTTTCCGCCCCACATTTTAGCTCTGTGATGAACATCTTTGCATATAAGTCTGTCATATTTTTGGTAGCCCTTTAGGTTATTTTCATTAGGTTATGACAGTCTTAAAAACAGGATTTATGTTTTGGTGACTGTTGATTTCCAAACACACAGCACAGTGGCTGCAACAAAATAGATAATCACTAAATATTCATTGAATGCATAAAAGTTAAATTTCTAAAAGGGAAATTATTGAATAATGGGACAGATATGTTTTAGGGTTTTTGATGTTCTGAATAGCTAAAACATTTATCACATTATCACCAAAATTTATTATCATTATTTAATTTGGTTTCAAAAGTGTCTTTGTCGTTTTAAATGGAGATCTCATGCATCAAAGTATGAAATTAGGAAAGAAAATTCTTTAGTCCTAGTTTCATAAATTTTACTGCTATGTATGTAAAAGCTGCAATTTCTGTAAGTAAGGTGTCCTGTGGATTAATTATTCTTCTGTTTCAGATAATACCCTGAAGCTGTTAAAGGAGTTAACAAGCAAAAAATCTCTTCAAGTGCCAAGTATTTATTATCATTTGCCTCATTTATTGCAAAATGAAGGAAGCCTTCAACCTGCTGTGCAGATTGGTAATGGAAGAACAGGAGGTAGGTTTACTTTGGTTCTTTTTGTGGTTGTACCGCTAGTTTTAATTTGTGTCTTGCAGTATTACATTGACTGTTAGAAGTCTGGCAGGTGAAAGAATAAAAATCGTTTTTGTGTGCATAGTAACTTAGGGCCCATTCTAAAGTTCACATTGAAAGGAGTTGGACATTTTTCTTCATAGACCAGATTAACAGAGCTGAAAAACATCACAAGAAACCTAGTTCAAGCCCCATTTATCCAGGCAGAAAAACGTTTAAACTTTTGTCATTTTCAGTTTTAAAAATTTGAGAGAGATGACTTTTTTCTTCAATATTAATAGCTCTTATAGTCATGTCAAGATTTTTCTTGTATCTGTCCCTACTTCTTATAGAGAAGGAAGTACATAGTTACTTTATTTTACCTTTCATTTAATAATAGAAATATGTTACTTTGTTTCTTTTTTTATATAACCAAAGATAATTTATATCATTTTTTTCTCTTCATAGAGCTACCAGATTTTCTTCAATTTTTCTTGTGGGACTTCTTTACTATTCTTGTATACTTCTATTTCTCTACTTTGTGTTAATTTTTCTTTGTAGATTTTTAAATATACAGACCAAAATATTATTTTGCTTTCTTAATAAGTCTTTATCAAACGATGAAACCATAACTTCAGTTATTGACATTTATATTTTTTAATTTATTTTTAAAAATTATTTTATTGATTATTCTATTACAGTAGTCCAAATTTTCACACTTTGACCCCCTCCACCGGGTACTCCCATTCCCTCCAGCAATGTCCCTCCTTAGTTCATGTTCATGGGTCAGGCATAGAAGTCCTTTTACTACTCCATTTCCTATACTACTCTTAACATCCCCCTGTCTATTTAGTGCCTACCAATCTGTACTTCTTCATACTTGTGCCTTTTCTCCCATTCTTTCCCCCCACACAGCTGATAACCCTCCAAATGATCTCCAATATATGATTCTGTTCCTGTTCTGGTTTACTTGCTTTGTTTTTTTTTTAAACATTTTTATTGCTTTTATTTTTTTTAAATTTATAAATCATGTTTATTCTATTACACTTGTCTCAGTTTCCCCCCCTTATTCCCCTCCACCCATCCCACCCCCACCCCCTCCCCCTGCTCCGACAGTCAACTCCCACTCTGTTGTCCATGCCCATGGGTCATTCATACATGTTCTTTATCTAGTCCCTTCCCCTTCTTTCCACCGTTGTCCTCTTTACCCCTCCCCTCTGATCACTTTCAGTCTGCTTCATGTTTCCATGCCTGTGGTTTATTTTGTTCATTAATTTATTTTGTTAAATAGAGTCTAATTATAGGTGAGATCATATGATAATTGTCTTTCATCAACTGGCTTATTTCACTTAGCTTAATATTCTCCAGTTCCATCCCATGTTGTTGCAAAAGGTAGGAGTTCCATCTCTCTCTCTTTCTTTCCTTCTTAAATGCAGATTGATTTATTTTTTAAATGTCAAAATTAATTATAAAATATTTTAAAAAATTTAAAACCATTATAAAGTCTCAGCAATTAAACCAACATGACACCAGCACAGAAATAATCACGTAGATCAATGAACTATAATGAACATTCTAGAGACAAATGTATATATATATCTGATTAATATATGTATGATTAAGTTGATATTTCAAATAATGGGTAAAATAAGGCTTATTCAACAAATAAGGTGCATGGACCACTATTACTTGAAATAAAACAAACATAGAGCCCTGTTTCACACATTATACAAGAAATATCCAGGTGAGTTAAAAATCAATATGTAGAATCAAAGGAGTTTTACAAGAAAATAGAACTAATATTTTTCATGACCTGAAGTAAAATATTCAACCCCAGAAGCTATAAAGTAAATATTGACAATATGACTATATTAAACATTTAACTATATAGTAATGTACATATAAAAGAAGTTAAAGGACAAGGAGTAGAATAGGAAAGTATTTGTAACACATCTAAAAACATGGTTAATGGGTTTTTTTTGGGAAGGGGAGAGTTCTACAAACCTTTCATCAATAAATGGATAAAGAATACCAAAAAGTCATGTAAAGCTTTTTTTAAAAAAAATAATAGAAATAGGCAAGAAATATACAGAAACAGGTTTAGTTTCAACAAATAGTAAAGGAAAAACAAAAATAAACATCATTGTCACAATCAGATTAATGAGTATTAAAAATATTGGTAATACCAAGTATTGACAACTCTAAAACGAACTGGGTATTCATAGAAACTTTTTCTCCATCTTAAAGCAATCCCTTTAGCATATTTTGCAGTGCTGGTTTGGTGGAGGTGTATTCTCTTAGCCTTCTTTTGTCTGGGAAACTCCTTATTTTGCCTTCCATTTTAATTGAGAGCCTTGCTGGGTAGAGCAGTCTTGGTTGCCGGCCTTTGCTTTTCATTTCTTGGAATATTTCTTGCCATTCCCTTCTGGCTTGCAGTGTTTCTGTTGAGAAGTCAGATGCTAGCCGTATCTGGGCTCCCTTATATGTTACTACCTCTTTCTCTCTTGCTTGCTTTAGGATTCTCTGTTTGTCTTTGATATTTGCCATTTTAATGATGATGTCGTCTTGGGGTGGGCCTCATTGGGTTCCTCTTGAATGGGAAACCCTCTGTTGCTTCCTGGACTTGTGTGACTTTTTCTCTCCTCCAATTAGGGAAGTTTTCCATCATGACTTTTTCAAACAGGTTCTCTATCCCTTCCTCATCCTCCTCGCCTTCTGGTATCCCTATTATATGGATATTTTTACGTTTCAGGTTGTCCTGCATTTCCCTAAATGCCTCTTTATTCTTTTGTAGTCTTTTTTCATTTTCTTGCTCTTTCTGGGAGTTTTTTACTACCTTGTCCTCCAGCTCGCCGATTCGGTCCTCAGCTTCATCTAGCCTGCTTTGGATTCCTTCTGTTGTGTTCTTCAATTCAGAAATTGTATTCTTCATTTCCTCTTGTCTCTTATTGATAGTTTCTATGTCCTTTTTCATGGTGATATAGTTTGCAGTAAGTTCCTCGTAGTTTCCCTGTAGTTTTTGGTAATTCTCTCTGAGCTGACTGAGCTCATTGAGCTTCCTTAGAACCGTTGTTTGGAACTCAATATCTGATAGCTTTACTTGCCTCTATTTCATTTAGTTCTCTTTGTGGGGATTCCTCCTTTCCTTTTGAGTAGGGTGTATTTCTTTGTCTTCCCATTATTTGATAGAGACTCTTCTCCTTTGCTTCTGCTTGTTAAGGTGATCTGTCTTGATTTCCTGACTTTGTGGTGTGAACTTCTATGGTTGGAGACTGCTGTTTTTACTTTGTGGATCTGCCTCTGATGATGTCAGTTGTTGACCCTGTCTGACCTTAGGCAGTCTGTTTGAGACTTCCAGTAATCTACTGTTTGTGGCTGTCTCCTTCAGCTGTTAATCTATTCAATCTTCATTCAGCAGGCCGCCTTAGACAGCTCAGGGCGGGGCAGAGTCCCTCCTGGAGGTGGGGTTATTGGGTCCTCTCACATATGGGGGAGGAGTCCACACTGGGTTCCCGCCGGCTACTCTCTCTTCTCTCCCCAAAGCCTCCATCCCTAGTCTCTTCAAGTATTGCCAGCCCTCTCTGCACCCCCTTTAGCCAGGGATCTACTGTCTGTGGCTGCCACTCTGCACTCAGCAGGCAGCTTAGCCAGCACGGGGGCGGGGGGGGGGGGGGAATTTCACCTGGGGGTAGGGCTATTGGGTCCTTTGACGTTGATACTGCTTAGTGGGTGTGGTCTCTGCGTGAGCAAGATGGCTGCTGCCGCATGGGAGAAGAGTCAGCACCGAGATCTCAGCAGCTACTCTCTCAGTTCTCTCCCCAAAGCTGCCTTCCGCAGTCTTTCAGGCATTTCTAGCCCACTCTGCCCACACTTTTGCCAGAGACCATGGTAAGTGGCTGCGAATGAAAATTTATGCATTGGCCCTTTAAACTGTTGTTTGAGTCTTCAGCCATCTCTCTGTGGCAGAGAACCACCCTGCCGCTTTTCTCAGCTGGCTGTTTTTTCTGTATGTTTTGGGCTCTGGCGCTGTGGGCTAGAGATCGCTGCTTCTGGTTTAGACCCCACTCTTCTCAGGGGGATCCAACTGGCCGTTTCAATACCCTTCTGGTGCTGCTGCCCTGGGCGCCCCGCCTGTCTTCTCAGGTCTGTACCGCACTCCTTACCAGTTAGATTGAGCTAAAGCTGATTCTTTTGTCTTCGAGGTTACAAGGCTCCTCTCTCGCTCTTGTTCATTTGTTTGTTCCACGTGAGTGCTCCACATTTTAGTTGTAATTCCAGGTTGCTCCTGGGAGGAGGTCAGTGTGACTTCCACTTACTCCTCCGCTATCTTGATTCTCCTGGTGTTTTTTATTTTTATTTTTTCAAGTATATTTTATTGATTATGGTATTACAGTTGTCCCATTCTTTTTTTCTCCCTCTTATCCCCTCCCTGCCTGTTACCCCCATTCCCTCCAGCATTCCCCCCTCCTCAGGTCATGCCCATGGGTCATCCATATAAATCCTTTGGATTCTCCTTTTCCTATGCTATTTTTAACCTCTCCCTGTCTATTTCGTTCCTACCTATTATACTTGTTATTCCCTGTACCTTTTCCCCATTCTCCCCCTCTCCCTCCCTGGTGATAACCCTCCATGTGATCTCCATTTCTATGATCCTGTTCCTGTTCTAGTTGTTTTCTTAGTTTGCTTTTGTTTTGTTTTTTAGGTTCAGTTATTGATAGTTGTGAGTTTGTTGTCATTTTACTGTTCATAGTTTTTATCTTCTTTTTCTTAGATAAGTGCCTTTAACATTTCATATAATAAGGCTTGGTGATGATGAGCTCCTTTAACTTGACCTTTTCTGAGAAACACTTTATCTGTCCTTCAATTCTAAGTAATATTTTGCTGGATAGAGTAATCTAGGTTGTAGGTCCTTGCTGGTCATCACTATGAATACTTCTTGCCAGTCCCTCCTAGCCTGCAAGGTTTCTTTTGAGAAACCAGCTGAC